GGATTATAGGCACCTGCCACCACGCCCACCTAATTTTTTGTGCTTTTAGTATTTGCCAGGCTGGTCTTGAACTCCTGACCTCAGGTGATCCACCCACCTCGGTCTCCCAAAGTGCTGGGATTACAGGCGTGAGCCACCGACCCCTGCCTGCTTGTTATTTTCTAATTTGGGCCCAGTGTTTATTGGGCTGCTGCAGATCAGATGCCCTGTTCTTCCTCAAGGGCTCTGCACAGCCTCTCCCAGAGTCCCCTCCCTTCCAGCCCCAGCTTCTTCTTTTAAAGTAGAGGTAGGGTCTCACTATGTTGCCCAGGTTGGTCTCAACCTCCTAGGCTCAAGCAATCCTCCTGACTCAGCCTCCCAAAGTGCTAATAATTACAAGTGTGAGCCACGGCGCCCAGCCCCAGCCCCAGCTTCTAACTGGCCTCTGACTCACCCTGCCCTCCCCGCTGCACCCTCTGGGGGCTCCATTTCAAGGCCTGCAGGCAGTGACACTCAATGAACATTTGTTGACTGACTGCTGTTAGGGAGCAAGGCTGAGGACACAGGCTCAGAAAGCATGGGGTAGAGGAGAAGCAGCAAGCACTCCAGGCCCTTCCCAGGTCATGTGCACAACCCTTAGGACAGGGTGCGCCTTTGAGCTTGTCGCTACACTCCTGACCCGCAGGAGGTACTCATGAAACACCTGCTGAATGAGTAAGGGAGCGCTTTAGGAGGGCCCAGAGGAATCTGGAAGCTTCCAGGCACTCCTGTAGACTCCAGGGCGCCGCCTCACCGGTGGCTGTCGAAGCTCTCCAGCTGCCGCTGTACGGTGCTGCTGATGCTGCGGCGGTAGCTGCGGTTCAGCCAGTTGCCCACCACGCCCAGGCCGTAGTGCCGCTTCTTCCGATCAAAGGCAAAGTGCTTCACCTTGGAGGCGATGCGCTTGCCGCGCCGGGGCCCAGGGACTGCGGCTCGGCCACACTCCTTCCTGGTGGGGATGGTGGCTTTCAGCCTGATACCCCCACCAAAACACTCCCAGACCCCACCAGGGCAGCTCAGAAGGGGCTTGGGGGCCAGGCTGGTGGCTGGCCTGGAGGAGGGACTCTGTCCAGCACTCACAGAGGGATTTGCACCCCATCGGGGGAGACAGGGGAGGCTGAGCGTGGGATCCCTCGGAAGTAGCTGGCAGAGAGTGGGGGGGACTCAAAGACATCATCGGGCATGGAGCTCATTTCTTCCTGGGGTGGGGGACATGAAAATACAGTGTAAGGAGTCTGTCCCACACATAGCCTCCCAGCACCTCAATTCAAGGGCAGGACACGGCTGAACCGACAGGCTCTTCACAATGAAGCAGGAAGCCGCATGCCCATCAGCCCCAGTGGTGACTTTCCCGGGTGGCACTGTGCCCCACCGCAGGTCTTTGCCCTACCCAACAGAAAGACGGGGGCCCAGCAGCTTCACACAGGACCATGCCACATCCCACCAGTGGGCCTCTGGGTCGCTCAGGGGTTCCTGAACATGATCAAGGCCAAAGTCACCTCACCCAGCTCCCAGGCCACCCCACCCCACCGCTGCTGTCCCTGAGGGCCCACACCCCATGCTTGCCTTACTAAAAAACGAGGAGTCAAATGTGTCTGCCCCATCGACCGCATCCTCCTCGAGGAAGCTTGGGAAGGCAAAGCTGCGCTTAATCACCCGGCACCGCTGTCCGGTGGCATCCAGCACCGAGCGCCCCTGTGCACGGGCAGAAGCACAGCCATCAGGACCAGAGCCTGGCCACCTGGGCCCCCAGCCCCAACACCGAAGGAATCATCAAGCCCATCCGCCTGCAGGCAGCGCCTTGGGAGGAGGGATCCTGCCCAAAGCATGGAGGTTCTGCAAGCTGAACGGGCAAGAGGAGCTCCTGAGACTGGAATGCCAGGAAATGAGGCACCAGCATCTGCTGGCACACCACTCTTGGCACAGTTTGGAGTCACCTTTCCCTTGGTCCCTGCTGCCCCTCTGCCTTGGGCTGCTGGTACTCTAACACTCAAAGCAACCCACATTCTATACTCTCACTCCCGAGGCTCGGGCCATGTCTCCTTGTCCTGTTTCTTGGCATGGAATACCAGGCCCCTGCCCACCTTTCTGACCCCATCTCCTGCCACAGCTCCCATAACCACGCCTCACTAAAACCGCATCAAACCGCCTGCTGCTCCCTCAAAACACTGCACTTCCTCTGGGCTCCTGGCCCTTGCACAGGCCATTCCCTCTGCTGAGAATTCTGTTCCCTTCCTTCCCTAGTGAACATCTCTTTGTTTTTTTCTGGGCTTAACTCAGTGTCTTCCCTGATACCAGCCGCTCTCCCAAACTGACCCCCTGAATGGTGACCCTCTCACCCTGGGCTGCCAGCTCAGCCAGGATGGCGATGGCTCTGCACCCGGTGCCCAGCACATAACAGGGACTCGGAAAACCCGGGTGGGTGAGGAGCGAGGGCATATCTCCCTTCCCACCTCCCCAGCTTAAGAGTCAGCACAGAGACCAGGTTCCAAAACGTGGCAGGGGGTCACACGAGATTTAAGACAGAAGGATGGACGCCTGGGTGCTGGGCTTCAGGGTCCCTCTTTGCCCAGGGATCCCAGCACATCTACTGTCCTTGGCACTGAAGGCAGATACCCAGGTGAGCTTTAGGGGATGCTACTATGAGGAGTGGAAGGGAAGGGCAAGGGAGGGAGGCTGGGCAGAGGTGGGGGCCCTGCAGGGAGCCCTGTACCTTGAGGAGGGCAGCAGCAGCTTGAAAGCTCATGTGGGCCACAGACATTCTCTTGCGGCGCGGCAGGTGGGAGTAGCCAGAGCGAACGCTGGTGAAGGAGGTGAGGGACAGGACTCCAGGGGTCAGTGGCGGGTGCGGGGCGTGGGGCCTGTCCATCTCCTCTGGGTGGCGGAAGGCGCGGCCCCGGGCCAGCGGATCCACAATCTGGAAGGGAGCGGGGTGGTGAGCGGATCCACAATCTGGAAGGGAGCAGGGTGGTGAGCAGAGCCACTAGGGTCCCCACCCCTGCCCCCTTTCCCATGGATCCCACCTTGGGCATCTTGCAGGGCTTTGGGGACTCAGTGCCTTGGAAAGATGGTGCCTCCTGGCTGGGGAGCTCCAGGTCACGCTGGCACGAGGCCTTCAGGCGGCCGTAGCGCACGCTGCAGTGGTGCAGGCTACGGCGCTGCCACTGCTGCCGCTGCCCCTCCCAGTCGCCACTGACTCCAAACCACTGGGCTGCGCCCCTGCGGAAGCAGACAAGGGACAGGTGGGCATGTGCCTGTCTGAGCCTGTGCATGTGAGTGTGCAGAAGGGGTGATGGCACGTGTGTGCCCACATGCCTGCAGGGAGGTGGGGGGTGCATCTGCCTGTGAGGCCCCTGGCTGGAGCCCAGTGACCAGAAGAGCAGAAGCAGGGGATGAGTGGAGCATGAGGAGCCAGGCTAGGGCCCCAGGCACCTCCACACTGATCCACCCAGCTCCTCGAAGCCTCTCAGCCTCCACACTGTGACATTCCACAAGGCACAAACCCGCTTCCCCATCTATACCATGATATTAGGTCGCAGGGAGACATTGCTCATTAATGCCCGCCTCCTCCTTCCAGAGAGGGGACGCAGGGACCGGGCCCAATAACGTCCAGGCACCAAGAATCCATAGGTCACTGGGTGGGGGGTGCTGGGCTTGGGTGTAGGGGGGCTCACTTGCGGATGCTCTGGGACAGTGAGGCCTGGCGGCGGAAGCCGGGGCGCTTCTCTGAGCTCTCCTGCCATCGGCTGCGTGGCTCCTGGAGGCTGACGCTCTTCAAGTAGGCTGGGTTCTTCCTCTTGGGGAGGAAGGAGGGAGGGCAGGTGGTGGTATGTGCAGCCCAGGTCCTGGGCTGGCTTTTCTTTAGCCTCCCATTCTGAAAACCCTGAGAACACACCTCAACCCCGATTTATGCCCCAATCTGCTTTCATTTGGAAATATATATAAATGTGTGTGTGTGTGTGTGTGTGTATGTGTGTGTGTGTGTGTGTGTGTGTGTATATATATATATGGTTTTTTTTGAGATGGAGTCTTGCTCTATTGTCCAGGCTGGAGTGCAGTGGTGTGATCTCGACTCACTGCAACCTCCGCCTCTCAGGTTCAAGCGATTCTTCTGCCTCCTGAGTAGCTGGGACTACAGGCATGTGCCACCACACCCGGCTAATTTTTGTATTTTTAGTAGACACAGGGTTTCACCATGTTGGCCAGGTTGGTCTCGAACTCCTGACTTCAAGTGATCCGCCTGCCTCAGCCTCCCAAAGTGCTGGGATTACAGGCATGAGCCACCATGCCCGGCCTATATATATGTATTTTTGGGACAGAGTCTTGCTCTGTTGCCCAAGTTGGAGGGCAGTGGCACCATCATAGCTCACTGGAGCCTCGACCTCCCAGGCTCAAGCAAGCCTTCTACTTCAGTGTCCTAACTAGCTGGGATTACAGGCATGTGCCACCACACCCAGCTCTTTTTGTTTTTCTGTTTTTTGTTTTTTTGCAGAGACAGGGTCTTGCTGTGTTGCCTAGTCTGGTCTTGAGCTCCTGGGCGCAAGTGATCTGGCTGCCTCAGCCTCCCCAAGTGATGAGATTACAGGCACGAGGCGACCGCACCCAGCCTCATTCTGAATTTAAAATCGCCATTGTCTAACGTTTCTCCATCAATCCCAGCAAGTGTTTTCCCAACTCCTCATCCAGTCCCTCCCCTCTGCGCCATGACGCTCCTGCCTGCTGCTGTGTGTTCTGCAGAGCTCTCGGGTGAGCGGGGGGCGTTAACATCGCTTCCCTTTATACTCCAGGCTGTGCAGGAAGCCCACGCTGCTACAAGCCTGTTTTCAATGAGCTCTTTATGGGGCACTAGACCAGACTGTCGGAAACACTGATTCGTTTTCGTCCTCTCACAGGAAGCGGGCACTGCCTAGGCGGGCTGCTGATGCCAGGGAGACACTGTCCCCTGCTTACCCATGGCAAAGAAAGCCCCCAGCCCTCAGAAGAGAGACCAAGAGTCCAGGCCTAGGGGGTGAAATGAAAACAGCCAGGGCCCCAGGGTTACCAGCAAGCCCTTTCTTGGGGCTGGCCCTTCCCATGTGCCTCTGACCATGGTGAGAGTGAGCCCGGTTCCTGGCCTTACTCCCTGTGATATTTCGGGCCCAGGAAGGAGGGGGTGGGGCCTGAGTCAAGGGCTGCACAGGCAGCAGCTGTGGCTCAGGAAGGAGCCCCTCTGGGAAGTGAAACTGTCCAGAAGGTGTCACATGGGCACATCTGTTGCCTGTGGCAGGACAGTGAGCCCCCAGGCCAGCCCCCTTACCTCAGGCAGCATGCTGTCCTGCTCGCCAGGGGCCTGGTTCTCTTTCTCGGGTGGCGGGATGGTGATGGAGAGGTTGGGTGGCTTCCGGCTCTGCAGGCGGCTGCTGGACACAGAGGACACGCTCCCGCCATTCTTGTCAGCAGAGGCCATTGTGGGCAGGCAGTGGGAGGGCTGGAATGGAGACCGAGAGAGCAGCGGTGGGTGGTGGAAGGGGTGGCGGGGTGTCAGGACCCTGATGCCAGGGCACGCAGCGCAGACCAAAAACCGACCTGCCTAAAGTTGGCTCAAACATCTCTGCGGGGCCAGGCGTGGTGGCTCACACCTGTGATCCCAACTACTCGGAAGGCTGGGGCAGAAGGGCTTGAACCCAGGAGGCAGAGGTTGCAGTGAGCTGAGATCGTGCCACTGCACTCCAGCCTGGCAACAGGGCAAGACTCTGTCTGAAAACAACACACATACACACACACACACACATACACACACACACACACACACACACACACAAAACCAAAAACAAACATCCCTGGGGACTAAACCCAGCCTGAACCAGGCTGAACCTCATGCCCAGTGGTTGGAGTGAAGTCTATTTCTGAACATCATTTGCATCCCGGACCATATGGGTCTGGGAGGTCCTCAACTTACTACTTCATTCAATTTCTGATCTCTCCGCTCCATGCAAGACACAAAGCCTGAAAAGAACGCGAAGATGCAGGCCAGGGACGGTGGCTCACGCCTGCAATACTAGCACTTTGGGAGGCCGAGGTGGGCCAAGAGATGAGAAACCTACCGTGCTGGTCCCTGTCCCCCAAGGTCGCCCAGTTTATTTTTCTTGTCTTTTTTCTGTAGAGGTGGGGTCTCTCCATGTTAGCCAGGCTGGTCGGGAACTCCTGGGCTTAAGCTATCTGCCTGCCTCGGCCTCCCAAGTGCTGGGATTACAGGTACAAGCTCACTGCGCCCAGCCCCAGTTCAGTTTTCAAAGAGAACTAAAACTGGCTGGGCGCGTGGCTCCTGCCTGTAATCCTAGCACTTTGGGAGGCCGAGGCAGGTAGATCACCTCAGGTCAGGAGTTTGAGACCAGCCTGGTCAATGTGGTAAAACCACGTCTCTACTAAAAATACAAAATTAGCTAGGAGTGGTGGCACATGCCTATAATCCCAGCTACTTGGGAGGCTGAGGCATGAGAATTGCTTGAACCCAAGAGGCAGAGGTTGCAGTAAGCCAAGATCATGCCACTGCGCTCCAGCCTGGGCGACAGAGCTAGACAATGTCTCAAAAAAAAAAAAAAAAAGATAACTAAAACTGCCACCTGTCTGGCACTTTTTCCCCCATAGTGAGAACATTGTTTAACAATAAAAGTGGCATATGCTCATTGAAAAAAAAAAAAAAAATCACACAGCCGGGTGCAGTGGCTCACACCTATAATTCCAACAATTTGGGAGGCTGAGGTGGATGGATCACTTGAGGCCAAGAGTTCAAGACTAGCCTGGCCAACATAGTGAAACTCCATCTCTACCAAAATACAAAAATCAGCCAGACATAGTGCCTCATGCCTGTAGTTCCAACTACTCGGGAGGCTGAGGCAGGAGAATCGCTTGAACACGAGAGGCAGGGATTGCTGTGAGCCAAGGTCATAGCACTGCACTCTAGCCTGGGCGACAGAGTAAGACTCCGTCTCAAAGAAAAAAAAAATCCAGCTGGGCACGCTAGTTCACGCCTGTAATCCCAACACTTTGGGAGGCTGAGGCGGGCAGATCACGAGGTCAGGAGTTCGAGACCAGCCTGGCCAACACGGTAAAACCCCTTCTCTACTAAAAACACAAAAAATTAGCCGGGCGTGGTGGCGGGCGC